AATACGCGGCAGCTGGATGGGTTGCCTACCAACTGGCCTGCAGGCGCGGAGGGCGAGGGGGGAGTGGAGGAGGTGGCGAGAGGCAACCGGCCGCCTCCCGCCTGGGTAGGCAACCCATCCAGCTGCCGCGTATTCTCTTGGACACCCGGTATGATCCTCAAAGTATTTGGTTTGATTTTTGTGTCGTTTAGTGACCGCATCGCGGTCACAAAGAAACCCACTGCGGGTGAATGTCAGTTTCAGAGGGGCTCATCGCCAGGGGGGGGGCGGGGGGCTGTTACGTTACGGCCCGCCCCCCGCGCTTAAATGTCAATTGCCTTCCCTTCCCCCGGGGCCTAGGCTGGGGTAAGTTCACCACCCTTGCCGTGACTGGGCACGCGTCCCTCTGCGGGTGGGGAAATTACGCCCTCTCAAATTGTTTTTAGACAGTCCCCAAGACTGTCTCTACCAGAGGGCTCTCTATACCAGGTGGCTGATTCACGCCGCACACTTTCGTAGTTATAATGTGTACCGCATTCAAGGCTGCGGACGGGTTTGCCTATGCTTGCTGCGCACGGCTCCTTATGGCCCGTGCGAGTAGGCAACGCACCCGCACGCGTGCATACGGTACAGTATAACTATGAAAGTGTACACCGTGAATTAGTCACCTGCGGTACAGCACAGAGCGGGCCCTTGACTGTGTGGCTGCTGTGCTTGTTTTTTGTTTTTAAATAATATGGAAAATTACTGACGGGGTTGTTTGTGGCATGGTCGAGCTGATAGTCAGCTCAGATCGACCAAAAAAGAGAGTCTGCGATGGGGAGCCGCAGGAGCAGGCGTGGTGCGGGAGTGTTGACCGTCGGTGGAGCTTGACAACAAAGGCGTGCGAGTGGTGGTGTCCTTATCAATAATGCATACTGGAGCCATTCGCCAAGGCGGGTAGACCTAGACCAGCGCCGACCTCGCCGTCAAAGTCCTGATGATTATCTTGTCCAGCCAGTCGTGGCGTTGTCGTCCCCCATGCCCCCCCCCCCCCCCCCCCCCCCCCAGCGACGGGCAAGGGTGGATCATGCAGGTTTGGTATTATTTATTCGGTAGGCTTCAATACAGAGTACTTCACCATCAATTTATTTGGTTAAAAGTCATCACAACAAAAATATTTGCACACCACAAGACTTCTATCTTGAATAACATGAAGAAAATTGGACACAAACCTGAGGTGTAGAAAGATTGACAATGAAAGTGACAACTCATGAGGAAAGGTGGCATCAACTATCCCTGTTCTCATGTATTCTTCAGTTCCAAGGGATAATTGCACCACAACTTTTCTTTCAAGGAACTATACCAAGAGATAAGATGGCAACAGTAATACTTAACTTACAGTTCTAAGGAAAGAAAGATAAGAGAAATGAACAAACATTTCCCAACAAAGGTGGCAGTTACAGGAAGTTTTATACTTCAAATAGAAAGTATAATAGAGTTCACTATATTTTTATGATACAAGAATATCAAAAATAAATATACCAAGATATTATTTTATCAGTGTTGATTTACATTTTAAATTTAAGGTTATAATAATGCAAATGCACAATCTCATTTTCTCATTTCAAAATTTCATCAAAACTAAATTTTGAACAACACTGACAATATAATTTCCCCATTAATAATAAATTGTGACACAATCTTACTATTAAAATAAAGTCTAAGTTAGAGCAATGAAGTGAATATACTGCATGAATTTGACATGACAAACACTTGATAAATAATAGCTTCACTTGATAATACAGTAATATGTTGTTTCAGATAATTTCATCAAGGCTGAGTAATGCAGTATATAAATAAACAAGGAACATGCATTACATCCAAGACTATAAAGAACTGATCCATTTGTATTCTTCAAGATTGCCTTAAACCATCTAACAAATGCAGTAAACTCTAAGGGAAGGAAAATACTGTTTGGTATGATTAATTACACTATGAGCATTTTACAATTCTCTTATCAAATTGTTTCTCTTTCATGTATTCCTGAACATTTCTTACAATGGGTAGAACACTTAATTACAACATTCTACATAACTAAAAAAGTAGAAACAAATTTAAAATCAAAACAAAAGATTTGAAATTTCACAGTATGACTAGAACTACAAGGAAAAGGCAATGGGGTAAATGGGAACCTTATCTACTTCCAACCAATAAACTTGGGCTTCAGTACTTTGGTTTCTTCTGGCTACATAATTCAATTAGTTAGGACCATGATTTGCAAATTCAATCCTTCCATGTTCAAGGAGGAGTGGTCCAGTGTTAGAAATAATACTGTCTGACTTCCTTCTGACTGAAAAGAGAAGACCTCGATTACCTAGGCGATTCACGGCAATACCCCTAGATTTCAAATGAGGTACACTCTCTCTTATAGCCTTCATTAGTTGGGGAAAGTGTCGACCACCTCTAAATGCATCAGAGATGTGCACTTCTTCAAGGGTACGGCGCAAGGCAAATAAGAACTTGGCGAGAGCACAGGTACTATGGACACTCTCAACAAATGGAGGTGCTGCATCCCATCTGTAAATATGAACTCGCTTGCAGGAATGGAGCCTCCCAGCCAACATTGGAAGAAATGTCTCAAGCCTTGTATCAGGAATCTGCTCATCAGATTTAATGTAAAGCTGATCACAGAAACGGAGAGATACTTCATGAATGTGCGACAGGCCTTTATAACCAATCAAATCCCTTTGTATTTTTTGAAAGTCAATCCACGACCCAAGAATAAAATCAATGAAGAACTGTTGTTTGCAATTTTCTAAAGCATGTAGGCTATCAATTGGAAATCTAACTAAAGCTTCAAGTTTATCACAGTTCCGTACAATTTCCTGCACATCTTTGTTTTTCCAAATATCACTTGTAAGGCGCAATTCTTTAAGGAATGGTATTTTGCTTTTCAAAAATGGTATGATAAATTTTTGTACAAGTATTTCTCTTGGGTTTTCTATCTTCATTGCAATTGCCTGCAGTCTGAGTTCAGAACTTTCAAGTTCCCCGAAGTACCACTTCGGATTTACTCTCCCTTGATGATGTCCAATGGATGGCATTGTGCCTGTGAAGCGAATGACCCTCAAATTTTTCATCTCGGAGATTAACTTTAAAAGGTAACCAGGCCTTGGCTTTACGCCATCCTTAAATGTTCCACCTTCACCATATGATAAACGTTCATCAGATATGGAAATATTGAGCTCCTCTAGAGTGTCTTGGTAGCGTTCCAATAGCTCTACTATTACCCTTGGATGAGCCACACAGAAACAACTAAAACGCCGAACGTTCTTGGGACCATTCAATAGAGTCAATAAAACTTCTCCATGTGCAGCATGCATGTCACTGACATCAACAGTGCGAAGGTACTTAGCCGCACGAACATGGCGCAAGAACTGATGCACACGATAGGGATCACAGACCACATCTTCTCGCAGCCACAAGCTCTTGTGCTTAGACAACTCATACCAGCGCTTGCACACAGGAGCTAGGTTAATAAGTGAATTGACACCCAGTTTGCTAAATATTTCTAATAATATGTCATCTGAGAGAGAATTCATATTTGGGTACTGTTTGTCATTCAGGAATTCTGAAGCAGCAATTTCCTCTGTCCTAATAGTGATTTCCGCTCCTATTGCTTGAGGGGGACATTCTTCATTTTTTACTCTTTTAAGTTCAACTGGATCTAAACACACCATACCATTATTTCTCTTAACACCATGTCCAGAGAAGGAAGACTCTGTCGACTCAGCAGTAGCAATTTGCGGATGACTGTCCGATGGCCTATAGTAATGACATGATTGGAAAGGAGGGACCTGAAAACAACAGTCAATACTTATTAAGGGTACAACTATTGTTAGATGTCGCAATTAAAGTGTTGTTGCTTTCAACAAACCTGAGCTGATTCTTTAGCTAATTGAATTTCCTCAGATGCTGGGAAGTTCTGACTGTCAGTTGAAAGAATACTGTTTATACTGGAAAAGGCTCCAGTGCGCTGCAGTTGTGAGTTCACAGGATGGACTTCCACAACAACTCCATCCCTTTGACCATCGTGGGCATAATCATGCTCATGATTCACATAGCCATTTTGGATTGCGGGATCATATTCATTATCATAATCTTGTTCAAAATGTAAAAACCCATCAACCTGTGGTATAGCCTGGACATGATTGTGTTCTTCTTCATACTGGTGATCAATGTTTACATCCATGTCAATTTCTTGGTCATTGCCAGCATAGTCATGCTCATCATTCATTTCATCAAGTATAGAATTATCATTGTTATTTCCACAATCTTCATCATCAAGATCATCAAATTCTTCATGGGTGTCACCTTCGTTGCTTGTCGTAGAACCATACACAGAGCAATTGCTAGCTATGTCATCTTCAAAATCAACTCCATCAATATCCTCCGAATCACCACTTTCAGAATCAGTGGCATAAAATTCATTGGCAGCCATGCGAGCCCTGTACAGAAGACACAGAAAAAGCAATGCATTATAACCCCATTTTACAAGGAAAACAAAATTTCATGCACTGTCTTACACACTTTTAAATTTTGAATAGTAAAAATTTATAAATTGACATGTGTTTTTTTCAATATTATCAATTAGTACGGATTTCGGTTGTTAGTCAAACAAATGTGAATCAGTTCGAGCCCACAATTGAACTTACATAAACAAATCAAGAAGATGGTCCATGACAGTCAATTAACACACTGCCGAATTGGAATACAGTCATTTAAATACTTTCATGTTGACAGGTTACGGCAACATGTTTGACGTGCGCTTGCAGAACTGTTATTGATTGATATCGGACACTGGCTCGAGGCAGCCAGAATGTATTATTCAATAATTAAGTAGACAACAGAATGTGCCAGCACACGGAAATTAAAATGTGATATTATTTAAAAATCACAAGAAAGCCGTCGATATGCGTTGGTGTCGCCGAATTTCGAAGAATCGACAAACTTTTACAATGTAGGCCTTTTTTTCTCTATCACCACATCACGGCCACACGAACAAAACAACCGAGCAAATGATCAGGGGTGGGGGTGAAGGGAAAATGTACAGCAAAGACGAAGTTTTTCATTCATTTGTTTGATCTCATGGCATGAGAAATTTGTCCATGCTCACTCAGCGAACTCAGCTCTAGTGTTTTGGTGGTTTTGCTGTGGATAGAATAGAAGGTAGAAATAGAATTTTAGTTTCAATCAATTCAAATGTAATGCAACAATGATGTTTGAATCAGAATGATAAGTAAAGGCAGTAACTTTGAAAAATAATTATTTGGAGAGCAATTTTATTGATAAAACCTCTCAAGTAATAACAATGGAACCATATCACACGCATACAGAAATGTAACTGCACACATTAACTCTGTCGAAATCTTAATATACAAGCACAGCCATTTTTTAAAAAAAGAGAAAAGAAAAGGTCACGAAATTACAACATATGTTAAACTCACACTGATCAAAGTATCAGAAAATGTATTTTTGAAATTTTTGAAATTTAGGGACACAAGTGGAAAACAAAATTACTTCACTTCATCAATAGACCGTAGGTCTCCAAAGACCTCTGATATTTGTTATAGTTTAGTTAGACACAAACAGTACACTGTTTCAGAACAATAATGCTCTAATAATCTTGTTCCAAGATGGTGAGCACTTCAACTGATCTTTAGAATGGGGTAGACAAATTGTGTAAACATCACAGGAAGATCAGTTATTCTGATGTTAACAGAGTACTATTTTTATATATATAGTTTTAAACATGGTATAAGATACAAAGTCTATTGATAAAAGTATGGTGTATTTCTACGGCGTTGAACAAGTCTAGAAAAGATGTCACCACTCAATACAACTAGCCAAATCCAAACGGGCAACACAACCCAGTAAGTTGGAATTTTATAGGAGGGAAACTCTATTTGCATACACAATAAAATTTGAGATGTAAACATAAGAAAAATTGAGAAAACACTCCAGAGCTTTCTTTTCATGGAAGTTTGTTTACGAAAGTCAAATCCATTCTTGCAATGACAAATGATAAAAAACATATAATAAAAGAGTATGATGAGAAAATAAATTACCATAGGTATAAAAACAATAAACCAATTCCACTCTGCCCTAGCATCTAAGCGTAAGACTAGGAGAATAAGGAAAACAAGCAACGAAAAACAGGTAAACAGAGCACGATGGCAGGCTGTCATACTGAGATGTAAGTGCCTGTAAGGTTATTGTTAAATTCAGTTGATTAGCTAGATGTGGATAAATTTTCCCACCTGTGCAACAAAAAACACACTTAAAACAAAAACACTTTAACACTATAAGGCATTAACCTTTAAATGGCCACAGTATGAAAGGAGCAGCTTAGCTTACCAAACTCTTTCTAGCTGAATCATACTTGACTGAAAGTGTAGAAAAAAGGAACGAATAATGGTTGAATTTTGTAACTCTGGATTGAAAATTTGCAGTTCAGTCAGTACCGTTAACAATATCCATTTCCAATTTTTTTAAGTTCTGCTTTGCTATGCTTTGCTTATTTCAGATCAAAACATCAATTTGACCACCATTCACAAACTGAAATAATAACGAAGTATTTTTCCAGAAAGCATAAAATCCAACAAAAGGATTTTTCCACGATATTGAACAAGGCGCTTAAGAGAGAAATAATATAGGATTTGGTCCAGGACAATAAAAAGAACTGATAGCGTCGACTTCATTGCTTTATTGTCGTACTGTTTTTACCCCTGCTAACTTCGGCTGGGAACGGGAACCCCAACCTGACCTGACCAAGGCTCAGTAACAGTCGCAAGGTGGCAGAGGAAGGTGAAAAGTGAACCAGTCAATCAGAGGCGAAGCACGAGGCACACAACGTTTCAAGTGAAGTTACGATCAAGATGGATCCCTATGGAATGTGCCAGACGGGCTGTAATGCGGTTACAATGGCGTGCTACGCGTCCGCGGGGGTAGTCTTTGGGGCCGGCAGTGTTCCTGCGTGCAGCGCTGCACAGGGCACGTGCATGACTGCTTGTGCTGGAGCCACAGCGGCCGCTGCCGCCGGCGGTGTGGCCACCGGAGCCGTCACCGGGGCCACCGTCGCGGCCACCATACTCAATCCTGTCACCCTTGCATCTGTCGCAGCGGTCCCTGTAGGGAGGATGCTGTGGAAGTATTTTCGGGGATAGAGGTATGCATTCCCACCGATTTCCATCTTGACACTGTGTGAAACATTCCAGTCAACAATAACAGTGGCTTTGGTAGGGTATGTGGAATTTTACTTGCTACACCCAGAGAACAGTTTCGTCATAATGACATCCAGTGATGTCAGTGTCAAGATTTGGTTATTTTTGTGGCCTGATTGACGTCAAATCAGGCCTTCAAAATTCTCAAATCTTGACACTGATTTCATTTGATGTCCTGTTGACGAAACTGTATCCTCTGAGATTGTATTGTTTTTGCAAGTAGGGCTCCGCCCGGATTCTTATCAGTCCGGTTCGTTTCGTTTTGTTTCTTTTGTGGGTGAGGGTGTGTGAAAAAGACCCCCTTTTCACCCCCACTCACTCTCAAAAGAGACAAAAGGAAACAAAACGAAACCAACCGGACTGATGAAAATTCGGATGGAGCCAACATTACATTTTACATTTGCATATCCCTACTTGAGTTGTATCTAACTGCACTTCAAAGTACACACATTGAAGGTCATAATGCATTATTTGCTAATCTAATCTAATCTGAATCCTCTTCCCTTTTAGGATTGGCAACCTGAAACGACGGATTCTGCTGCCTTCCGTCAAGACTTGATTTTGTCAGTTAATTTCTGTCTGTATCTCTTTTCATTGACTTTGTGCCTTTTGACATAATGTAAAGAAAAACTTGTTTAGTTCTGTTTTAATTGTCTACTAATGTTTTTGCTAAAATAAACCCATATCCTAAGATCTATAAATAATTTGTTTGAAATGATTCCTCTTAAAGCAATCTTGTAAAAACACAGTAAAAAATATTGTTGACATAAGTCCCTAAAGATTTAGTGGGTAATACAAATTAAAAAGTTAGTTTGTTTGAGGGGGGAGGGGGTGGTGGGAGCGGGCGTTACTTTTGTTAATCAATGAACTTTGCTTCAGAAAAATATATGGGATACTGAGGGGGGGGGGTCTGGCCGGCTGACTCAATTTTCAGGGCACCTCTACCATTGAGTCCTACTAACTTACCACTCCACTGTGAGAGATCTGAAAGAAATTCCGTGTCGCTTTGCGACATGCCAAACCTATTGTGCAAAAAATTATCTGGTAAAAACGGTATGTCGCATTCTGGTGTCTGCTAGCAGAGCACGCAGAACGATCATGCACCTCACATGCCATGTCAGAGTAATGCACATCTAGAAGTCATCTAAGTTTGGCTGAGGTTTATTTTCGGGCCATTTAGATGTCGAGGCCAGAGCGAACAATTGTGACCTTTGGCTAGTCTGCCTATACGTTCGAAAATTATCAGGACACTCATCGGGTGAATATGAGGCATCTAGAAATGACTGAGCGAGCAATGCTTCATTAATTTACATCAATTTGACGTCACTTTTCGTCATTTTGACGTTCTGGTACAGGGCGACATGCATGCATTGGCTTTGCTCTCGAAAACGAGAAAACGCATCTGAGTGTGGAAAAGTGAAATGGATAGCGTGAGGTCTGACGAAAATTCGTTGTCGTTTTGGTACCTCGTCTCCTCTATCACACGATATGGCGGCTTGAAAAGGGGATTGCTTAAAACAGTTTGCACTTTCGGCCTTCCCTCCGCCCTGGGAATTCGAAACAAATGATTCTGTTGTAAATCCTTGGACTTCCACGATCAAATACTTCAAATACAAATACTTCCACCTTTATTGTGTTAGGATAAGGCTGTTGGCGGTCGGCAGGGAATGACCTCGTCGCGGTCCTAGCGGCCGAGACCACCACACAGCACTGAGCACTTCCCCAGGTTCGAGTTGCTGGTTCAGTGGATGGATGTAGCGGTATTTTCTCACCTTGCCCCCCCCCCTTATTTCAGATCAAAACATCAATTTGACCACCATTCACAAACTGAAATAATAACGAAGTATTTTTCCAGAAAGCATAAAATCCAACAAAAGGATTTTTCCACGATATTGAACAAGGCGCTTAAGAGAGAAATAATATAGGATTTGGTCCAGGA